GGCATTCCAGGCTATAAATAAATCACTAGTTTCTGCACACCAGGATGTTGTTGGCATGAGTTTCTTATGAGGGACATAGAATGTGTGACCTTCAAGATTTATTGCAAATATACTTTGATTGATGGAAACAAACATTGTACATTTACTTTACTGAATTACCATTGAATTTCAGATCAAATCTTTTCAACTGGAGTATAATGTTTATTCTGATGATTCCTGTCATAAAAGAATGTGGAATCCACAAGTTTTTTAACTGTGCCAGCAGTTTACTTGAACTGAACCATCTTTTGAAAAAGCTCTTTTCATAAAATTCTTTCCTCCTGAAATCTCATGATTTTTCCTGTCTTTGATTATGCACATGGAACTTGAGAATTTTTGTTCATTGGCTCAAAATTGGGAAAATCATATATTTGCAGGATTGAAAATTCAGCAAATAATTGGGTATTTTAGACATAATGCTGGAAAAGATTCAATGCTAGATTTTTTACTGGAAGCATGATGCTTTTTGGAATTTCTCAGGTTTCATATCAGATTTCAGGAATGGCAATTTTCTTTCAGGTAAACTATATTTTTTGGAAGATTATTGCTCTATTTCAGGGAACATAACAAATCACACACAAATGAATGATACAGTATTTACATACATGGATTTTTGAAATTTACATTTCAGTAAGATCAATGCAGATTTGGTAAATTTAAATCAGGTCTGGTTGAAGTAAATGAAAAATCTGCTGTTGTTTTCCTTTTTATTTTCTAAAAAGCTGAAGATGAGAAATTTCCTGACTGTATCTGTTTTTAAAGCACATGAACGCATTTCTTTTACACATTTCTGACAAAAATATCACTCTTAAACGTTCTACAAAACCAAAGCACCTTATCATAAAAATACTTTCCTTCAACAAATGTGGTAATGAGAGGTCCCTGGGAGATCATTGTGATCATCTTTTACTGCACCTGCCGATGATGCATTGATTTGAGAATGCATACTGTTTTTCAACTCATCTTCTAATTGCATTACTGTATTTTGATCCCATAGGAACCTGCCAAGGTGGAAACTATTTTTTTTATTTTATATGACGTATTTTTCTAACCCGTTTTAGGGAAGATCCGCTTCAAACCCTGGGAACAAGAGCAAGATATTTACCATTTTAGGCTGTTGGTTCCTTGGCCTAACCATCATCCTGTGCATTCCAATCACATATCTTATTTTGAACCCACCAGCTGATGAGCTTCCTTCGAATGCCACAGCTCTGGACATGACGGAAACACCATCAAATGCTACTGTGTTCTATGGTCATGAGAAGGAAAACGCTGACGGTGAGATTGGCAAACATCACCTAGATGTCGCCCAACTCCTTGTAACAATTGTTTTGTTCCAGGAAGTCCCAAACAGCTTGAATTGCTGCTATTTGACCCAGCTGGCGAACATTCCAGCGATATTGAGAAACACCGGGTCACTCGGGGAGTTGCCAAATTTGCTGGGAAAGCTCTTGGGATTATGCTTGGTGAGTCTAGCAGAAAGATTTTTTTTGAATACAGTACAATAAAATTTCAAAAATCTGAGAAAAGCATTCTTTGAACAAATGGTTATAACGATTTTTCAAGGATTTTGTTCTCAGTCCCAGCAGTTTTCCATGGTCACAATGTCATAAAAAGCTCAGTTTAACAAACTCATTTTAGGCTGTATACAGTAATCTCATCATAACCAATTGTTGCCTGTGATTCTGTCCAAATAGGCCCTTGGGATTAATTGATGAATTTCAGAATGAGAATTTTCAAAACTGAAAAGGTGCAGCATTACAACTTTATCAAAGAAGCACAACTTTCTGTAAAGAAAACTTGGTTTTCAAAAAATTCAAAACATGGCAAATATCTTTTAAATTGTTTAGCTCTGTTTTTGAATGTATGCCTTTCTTTAAAATACACAGGATGTTAGAAAAAGTGCTCAATTTCAGAGGACAGACAGGGATGAATGAATAAGTGGATTCAGAAGACCTTGCAGTACTATAATGACACATGTAATTTGGTTTTATTTTATTTTTTCAATTCAAACAACATTTTAGTAAAAAAAAAAGGCAGGTATGATTCATAAGGAAAGTAGTACTTATTTTGAAAGTTTTCTTTACATTTAATCAGAAATACTAACTGATTATGATAGGTCTTGAATTATCTGTTTCAGAAGCCCTTTACAGTATTCATAGCCCATTTCCCCTCAAAATTTCAGGTGAATTGTGTTTAAAACCTTGAATCTGTTTTTTATTATAATGAGTTTTTATCTTGTACCTGGGAGTTTGCTTCATTATATTTTACTGTATTTTCATTTGTGAGCATTTGAATGACTCAATTATGAATTTTTTTTTGGGTGCCAAAGGTGTCATCCTGTTCATTGTACTGTGTGCAATATGTGGCTGCTGCTTGTGCTGTTTCAAGGTCCACCGCATTATCCTGGGGAAGCATAAGGAACATCAAGTACAGGGTCACAGAGCTTCATTGCAGTACATGGTTGGCAATGGAGATGGGGTTTATTCTGGCCAGGGAGCACAACCTATTTACCCACCGCAACAGGGTTACCAACCGCCTCCGCCTCCTTACCAAGCTCACAATAATCAAGGATATGGAAGCCAAAACCCTTATCCGAACCAGACACAGTATTCAAACAACTATCCCAATAACCAACCATCTGCACCCATTGGCTTTGAGGGATTACAAAGATGATTATATTCATTGGAGGAAATATAATTTTTTTTATAAATGGATTTGATTCTGATTATCCATGTTTTGATAGTGCAGATTTTGCTGCTTTGCTTTTTTCATTTAAAAATCGAAAATATGCTGAAGGAGCCTGGTAGGGTTAATGATGTTTTAACTCAGTAGACAAAAATATGTTCTGCAAGGAAGAAGTAAACTGTAATATTTGAATACATTAAGACCAGATGATTTTACAATATTGAGGAACACTATATTATTTTGAAGCCACTAAATGGGTTGATTTGTTTTGATATGCACCATTTTTTGTCAAATACCATATTTTGTGAGAGAACTTCTTCATCAAATAAACAAGACTGTATTGTATTGTATGCATCCTGTCCATATGTAGCACATATTTGTTTTACCAACTGTTATATTCCACCTTTGAGTCTTTATGGACAGATACTCTTGCTAAACTGAAAATGGATACATGTGTATATGCTGTATGTGGAGAATTATGTCAGTTGTTTTCTTGTCTTGGATGTTTTTCCATGTCATCCATCTTATTCATGAACTTGCTGTAGCATTATGTTCAGGAAGAAGATTAGAGTACAATACATGTACAGTAACTGACTTACATGTGTACTGTCACTATACTGTCCATGAAGGCATAAAAATGCATTCTCTTTTTATGCATCCTCTCCAAGCTTACATTCACAAGATTAATTAACATGTTTCAGTATCAAAACTTTTTGTATGTCAAATTTTTGGGACAAGTTTGTTCCTCACAAAAAATGGTTGCCTTTGTGAGCATTGTACTCACTCATTCTGATGAACCAAACTATAAGGTTTTGCATGAACAGATTCAGCTTTACAACCAGGTCCAATTGGTATGAATTGGTCTTGACCAAAATACTAATGAATTGATTCAGTATTCCTGGTATGCAAGCATTCATGAAATTGTACCTGAATTTACCCCCTTGTAATATTTTTAGGGGCATGGGAGTGAGATTTCAATAATTAAGAATGATTTATATCAAGTGAGCTAGTGCTCTTTTCAATTGTGTGGGACTAAAATCATGTCAGTGCATAAACCGCACTCAGCTTCATTTTGTTTTTGGAACCCCAGCTTTCCCCAATATTGAATGAATGAATGAACAGAAAACTTCATTTGCTGCTTTTCAGCGTTCACAAGGAATAACCAGAACTCCCGCATCCAAACCCCCTCCCCACCCAACCCAACTCCCCCAAATACATTCAATCATTTCAAAGCATGAAACAAAGCACAAACAAATGACAAAAATAAAAGAGAACACACTCCACAAAATAAAACTGGACATCCTACACGTATGTTGCATACACCCACCCATCCCCAAAATTGAAGACAAAGCAGCAGTAAAAGTTTATTTAAAGCACAAGGTCTTCAGCCTGTTTCTGTATGAGTTTTAGTTCAATGAACAATTTAGAGAGAATCTTTGATGAGAAATCATATAAGGCCAAAAAATTTTCTTGATCCTTTAAGAGTTCTGAAAGTGTCTCTTCATTGAATTTCAGTAATTTTAAATCTTTTGTAAGCTGATGTCTATCTCTTTGAAATGCTGGACATGAGAAGAGAAGGTGCTCTGGTGATGCACAAACAAATGTATTTATGCTGCAGGAGTTACACCACTTAGAAACCTTTGAGAGTTGGATGAATTTTTTACTAAAGTGCCATGAATTTGTTAAAATAGCAATGGCATCATGTATTAATGGGATGTTAGATGATGCAAATAGTAATGGTTTAGTATTGCCACAAGCAAGAACAGCTAGAAATGTACTTGAGTCTACAACATCACAATTATCATGACAAAATTGAGTGATCAGGATCTTTTCTCTGCCTTTATTGATGTTACACTTGAGAAACTGGACAAAATCTTCTGCAGATTTTATTGCACTCAATTCTGGGTACATTGTGGACAATTTAACGTAGAATGTCTTAAACCCCTGTAATTTCAAGTTTACTGTAGTGGGCAGTTTGTTCTTGGATACTGTTAGATTCCAGAATTCTTTAATTGCTTCAGTTGAAAGTTGATTATTGGCTATTGCCAACCTATGTAAGAACATCAGAAATTGACTGTTTACATTACACACTGCACAACAACGTCCAAATAATAATCTAAGAGCTCTAATGCTACATGATTTTGGCATGTGAAAAAACCATCTGTAAAACAGGTTCTGTAATGTATCCATTTTTTTTTGAGAAGGCAATGTTCTGGCCATATTTCTAGCCAATATAGTGCAGCTGCCCATACCAAGGAGTCAAAAAACCTCAATGCCATTTTTGTGTCTTTTAACTCCAATTTACTTAGAACATTACATAGTGTTATTAATCGGGAACGTCCTACATTGAAGTTGTTCATGATGTGACTTGTTGCATGACAACCCTTTTGCAAGCAAACTCCTAAGTAAATCCCTACTTTTGAGAGTGTGCAGTTCACCCCATCAATCTGCCATGTCATTCCTGATTTATTTGGATTTCTTACTGCTTTTGATGATAAAATCTCTGTCTTATTATCATTTATTTTAAGTCTATTAATGTTGCAGTAGTCAACAAAACGATTCAAGATATTCTGCAGTGATAACTTTGAGGTTGCTAGTACAACTGTATCATCTGCAAATTTGATAAAATCTCTGTCTTATTAGCATTTATTTTAAGTCTATTAATGTTGCAGTAGTCAACAAAACGATTTAAGATATTCTGGAGTGATAACTTTGAGGTTGCTAGTACAACCGTATCATCTGCAAATTGCAGAACATTAACTTGACAGGTACCAATGTCTATAGCTCCTGAGCCAACCATAATAAATTTGGGTAGATCACTTACTACATCAACTTGACAGGTACCAATGTCTATAGCTCCTGAGCCAACCATAATAAATTTGGGTAGATCACTTACAAAGAATAAAAACAATAATGGTGACAAGCAGGAACCCTCTTTTAATCCATGATTTGCTGTGAAGACTGAGGCTTTCTTGTTACCATTGATAACTTGGAACTCAGTTTCATCATACAAACTTGCAAGTGCTTTCAAGAATTTGAAGGATACCCCTAAAAGTGATAGTTTGCAAAATAAAATTCACTTGTCAACAGATGGGAAAGCTTTAGCAAGGTCAAGCAGTGCTATAAGTATTCCCTCCTTGTAATTTTTAGTTTGACAGATCAGTTCCATGATGAAGACATTGTCAATTGTTGATCTTGCTTTGCGAAATCCTGCTTGGACATCAGGAAATAAATGTTTGTCTTCAGACCATTGTAACAGCCTGTCAGCCAGTAATTCTTCATATATTTTAAGAGATGTTTCTAGCAAAATAATTCCCCTGTATGAATTTGCATCTGATGTTTTGCCTTTGTTTTTATATAAGACTGAGATGAATCTGCTGTTCCATCCTAATGGGCAGGGTTCTTTGCCATCAAAAATTTTGTTCATGTGTTCTGTGAATATTGAAGTTGAAGAGAGCAATTTATTTGTCTGTTCTCATATTTATTTTTTTTCCATGCTGATTATACTGATAACAAAGCTGGCTGCCAAGTTCATATTGTCTGCAAAAACATGAATGTGCAGATGCAAATGAACATATGCCTATTGAGGCTTGCATGTAGTCATGCATTCCTCAAAAGTGGCAAATTGGTTCCCATTGCCCATACAACCACTGTAGAGAAATGTCTCACAGGTCATAAGTGCTCCATTGTAGTAATACTTCTGCATTGTCCCAAAGCAAAATCCTGGGTCAGGGTCCATTGAGCATAGGAATGGGACTGAAATTAGAAAAAGGAAAACATTTTCAAATACTGTATCTACTTATAGTGATTGCCTTGGACATAGTAGATAATTTTAAAAAATCAAAGCACATTTCTTCAAGAAAACTCAACCCATAAACTGCGTTCCATGCTAAAATACTCCGAAATATTTGTTTTTCATAGGTTCATACACTATAATTTTTTTTAAAGAGCATGAGCTTTTTAAATGCCTGCCATAAAGTCTTCCAAGTTTCAAGCAAATGCTTTGAGTCTTCAAAATTTTCATGAAACATTGCTGGTGCTGGTCTGCAGAAAATTTTTGGGAAATTTGCCAGTCTGCAAGCCAAAAAAAAGTTTGGGGAACAGTAGGAACACTGACTTATAGAGGTTGATCTATAAAAATTCCTCCTTTTTGCCCATACAGTAAAATCTTGTTACAACAAACTTTTGGGGACCACAGAAAAAGTTTGTTATAACGGATAATTTGTTGTAACGAGATTATCAAAAAAATGACTGGAAATTTTTTTTCAGCTCAGATCTGCATATATTCTGAATCAGGCTTGTCTTTAAGTTTAAGAACTCAAATGATTGATTGAAAAAATCAGTGATTTTCTTCTGAACAAAAATCTTATTCACTGTTGCTGGCAATGCATCCTAAGGTTTTTTTCAGTAGATCATATTTTTC